AAATGGTTTTCATCCGCTCGATCTCTCCTAAATACACAACATAAATTGGGTCCAGATTATTCTTGACATCCTGTACAATTCAAAGAAAAAAAAACGTGATTTTATTGTACGAAGCTACAAGGAATTTATCAGCTACAGGTCAACAACTCTTCGATATTAAACACACTGCTTGTTAATAAATAAAACGGCGATTATAGGAGGCGGCAGGATCAAGACATTCTGATTAATAAACTTTCGCAACGATCAACCCAGCTGGTTATTTTCCCAGACAAGTAACACGATTCTTACCTCCTTCGGATGCACCGATCGTGGAACGAATGCGCGAACCTTGGAGAACGAGACGATTAATCGTGACAATTCAGGACACAGTTTTATCGCGGACCGGCCAGATACGAGGCTCTTGAATAATTAAACGCCACTTTGACCGACCTTCGATCCACACAGGTCACGAGGGCGACACTTCGGATGTGTTCGGCTGCTGTAGCTCGACTGCACGATGCAGTTCGAGCCGTTGTTCCACGATGATACACGTATCACGAGCGACGATAACGCGATTTTCGACGTTCCTCACGACACCCAGATATTAGGCGATCCCGATAAATCGATCGAGGATTACTTGTTATTGAAGGTTCGATTTCCAGGAGTTACCCAAACGTATACTTTTGCTATAATAATCTTTTTACTTCTATAATTAATCACCGTAATAATAGGAATGTTTATCCTTGATGAAAATGAAAAAAAGGAAAATGTTGTTTTAACGCAAAAACTACCAAACTCCTTGAAATGGCGGATTGCAGATTCTTTATCTTACCTACAATTATATATTTATATATTGATGTTGAGCTTTAATTTACTATACATTTTATATTATGTTAACTTGTACTATGCATTATGTATGTTATTATAAAATACAATATAATTTAGCTCTTTGCAGTCGATTGTTTCCACTGACGAAACAAAATGTATGGGGAATTAAAAAATTCCCAGGGTAAAGAGTTAGTATATATTTAATGCTGGTCATTCTAGTATTGACTATAATCAAACAAACGAAACGAAATAACATTATATAAACTAAAAGTGCATAAGGTATACGTACTTAAAAAAATTCAAATTCTTTGTATCTATTGGGTATCACTAACTAAATATAATACTTATGCGTTTTATGTATGTATAGTTTTGGTACTTTTTGTTTATTACCAGACATTTATAGAAAGTTTACGTTTCTCTTTAATTTAAGAAAGTGTTATGATCTATTACTAAAAGAAGTATAAATAATTTCATAAAATAATCGTTTGTTACTCAGAAACTTCATTGATTGAATATGTATCATAATACAAAGTCCACATACATCTTTAGCAAATAGGAAAGTAAAGTAAATTTCCGAAAAATTAACATTAAAGATTAAACGTATATGTAATTGTTTGCGTAACTTCTGGTAAACGAACAAACTCCTTCGTTAACCGACACGATGGAAGACAAATCATTGAAATGCAGTTTGAAAATTTATACTATTTCCCCTTTATTTGTGATCAGACGTTTCGAATATACTCAGCGGATTTTTTTCCACTTTATTGTTTCGAACAATGTGTGCGACAACGAAGACAGTGGTGAAACCGAAACGCATCGAGATTAAAATCAATTTTTTGTTTGGCAGTGTACTTTGTGCACATAATTTTAAACTAACGCTCGATTTCGAGTACATATAACTGACTAGGTGTTTCACGGATTCGAAATCCAGATTGTTCGAAGCAGAAATGGATCGAGTTCACGGAGAAGATACGATGTTCCACATCCATCTGTCCAGAAAAGAGAATATCGACAAACTGTCGGGTGCTTTTAGTTTCCACGAACCCAATTTATTCATGCTTCGAAATTCTTTTCTCGAGGAAACCTGGATTCTATTCTCGGTCACGATGACAACACGATACGATTAATTTTTCAGCCTAATGAATTTTATATTTCATTAACTGCGTACTCCTGAATGCTAGAATCGATCGTTAACCGCGTGTAAGTGTCAACGAGTCGCGGTGAGATTAGTTACAAGTTACTCTAAAATGAAGTATTTCGCTCGGAGTACCTCAGAGAACAATGGTATTTACGATTTCCATCGTTCACGGCTTGCTTCTCACGTTTTTCATGCCAATCGCATGTAGAAATTCGAAATTTTTATCACAATGTCTTCTTACAATTTCTATACGAGGCAGCGATCGATCGCATAGGCCTCGTTCCACACGGTTTATTCCAAAAGTTTCTGCACCGGAATTAAAACAACAATTCTTCCTAAATATTAATGACTTTTACTGTAAATTATCCAACATGTTTACCTTCTCAAGAGGTATACTGCTTTCAAGAAAAAAAAAAAATATGGAGAAATAGCTCCGATAATCCTTCTTTAACATAGCAGACAAAGTGGCGGTTTTTAGAATATCAAGAATTATATCGGGCTCTTTGTACAATTAGGCGACGAGAAAGTATAGCGAGAGAGTGCCAAATCGCGCGACTGTAGCGAGTAATCAATCTTTATGACACCTATTAAGACTAAAATATTACACTTTGATAAGTCATGAAACCAAAGATTCGAAGCGTCGATTTTTCCACCATTTTGAAAAGAAATCACCAGTAAACTTTCCAATGTACTTCTTTAAAAAAGAAGCATTTCAAATAATTCATAATAAGAATCGTCAGTATCTTACGAAAAATTACTGTTTCAATTCGGAGATCACTTTGGATCAACCGTGGTGATCGAAAACAGACGTTCCGTTTGATTAGGCCGCCAAGTTTCGCGCGAATCACCGTGATTACCGATTTTACTCGAACTCGTACCGTCCTTTACCTCCGGCTAGTACGTGTTTCCGGCTACCTGATCTAATTCTACTCGATACTGGGAGGGGGGGGGGGGTTATTATATACGTTTTGCTCCTGCGTCGTCTATTTACATCGTTAGCTATGGTCTCACGCCTTCGTTTCCAGCGAGATTTGTGCGTAATGGCGGATAATAAATACGTGTGGAAGCGATAGGCGAAGACGGGTTATATATTATCTGGGTGTCCCAAGTGGCGGGATTTGGTTTCCTGATCGGACCGATTCGTGACGCGAGAATCATTTCCCAAGATAATATCCAACCGAGTCTCCCCTTTGACGAAAAATAATGACTACCGTATATAGGATTCAAGTAAACCAGAAAGAGAGCTACAACACGGTGGTAGTTCATATACAGACAAAATTACCTGTATAAATGTATTGCGAGAATATTTAAATCAACTAATAGTCGATTATTTTTCTATAGTGTCCATTGAGCTTTGTAACTGACAGTCTTTGTAATCTATTCAACTTCTCTTTTCATCATTCACACGCGACCGAATGATTCCCACCACTTGGACGCCCGCGCTCCAAGCCCATTCTTATGTACAAGATCTAATGGAAGTTAGACGAAGCCAGGTCTAACAAAAGGGCGAAGAGATAACGCGCTACGCGGAGATATCCCTAAAGACGAGTCACTCCACCCCGCCTCGCTTAAGACTTCCTCAAGGGGCAGTTAGATTGCTGTTCGATCCTAACCTCGGTCGCTGAGCTCTGCTTGTCTGCGACGCGATCCACGGTGATGAACGGTGTCACTGGAGGCGTCGTAGGTGTCTTGCCCTGAGGTACCACCACCTTTTCGCAAATTTCCACCACCGTACGGCGTCTTTCGGCAGCCAGTGTCTCTTCACCCACCGTCACCTGGTTTATCGTGCTGGATAGGAAGGAGGGGGAAACGAGTTTCACGGTGAACATCGGGGACGATGGCTCCAGGCTGGAGAAGACTGGTGCGCAGGTGCTGGATGGAATATTGGTCGGAACCGTGCTGTTGGAACTAACAGGAATAGGTATCTCTGACGCTTTTGGGAATTGTGGGGAGGACATCTGACTAGTTGGACTCTTGACGACGTTCGACGTTCTCGCCTTCATGAATGGTATTTTAGGCGAGGATGGCGATGCGGGCGGGCTTAGAGAGGACGTGGAACTTGTAGGAGACAATTTTGTAGCTACTGTCTTTCGAGGAAGCGGGGTAGGGATTTTAGATGCTGATCGCGGAGACGTTACTGGTGTTGTCTTTGTAACCTCTTTCGCAGAAGAGTTGAAGGCTGAGGTAGTGTTAGAGTCTAACTGAAGGGTTGTTGGAACAATTACTGTCCTGCTAGGCGACACGTGACAACTATCTTCAACGGTTGAATTTAATGTCGATGTTGAGTTCATGATCTTGGCCGAGTCCTCTTTTAAGTTACTCTGGACCTTTTCGTCGCTAGTAAGGTCAGAATTTTGCTGCCCCACGAATAGTGCGGAGGTCGCTGGTATGTTTGTTTCTTTGGTAGGTAAGGAGTCTACTTTGGTGTCGATGAGCTCTTTAGAGACAGGTAACTTTGGTTTGGGAAGCGTGTCGGGCGGTGTTCTTCGCGGAGGTACTTTGGGACTTTGGTATACGATTGGGCGACACGTAGTGGGATAGGAACGAAGTGTGCTAGAGTTAGTAATCTCTATGTGAGCCTGCGATTGTGATTTGTTAGTCGACAGTTCCCCAGAAGTTTCAGCAGTACCCTAGAGAACCAAAGAGTTATTGGATAGATAGCATAATTTGATGTCCCGTGACCGAAGTGTAACAACACCGTTAGGATCAAAATTTGGCGATCTATTAAACCACGTACTCAAGGAGTAATCGTAACATACTAATTCATATGAATAAAAATATTCTATAAATTATAGATAGGACAGACATAACGACTGATCTCCATAAATAAAAACATCCCGTTACTCAAATTACCGAATCACTTTAGCTAAACATTATTCATAGACGGCACAGACCACATTAGATCAACTTCTCACAATCTTCAAGCAACGATATATGTATACCCCACTCGATAATTTTACTTTTACACGAGCCAGATGAACAATCTACGACGACGATTAAAAACTGGACTTATTCGACAGAAGAACAACCATGCAATCCCATTGTCACGACTTACCTTCTTTGTTACTACTGCATCCTGCTGGTTGGCAGAAACCGTCGAGATCTCAGGCACGGCAGTGCTGTGTTCAGCGACAGTTACATTCACCGTTTCGACGTCATGAGGTTCTTCGGGTTTCTCTTCGATCGCTTCGTGTCTCTCGATGATCGTGCTAGCGTGCACGATGTCTTCGTCCACCGGTTCGTCGGCCTGGCTGACGGAGCAGCTGACATCGGCCGTGTGGATCCCGGAATCCTCACGATCCGTGTCGTTCAGTAGTTCAGCGGACGAGGATGACGCTGGGTAACGTCGTCCATAGTCGAGCTCTTCCAGGCTTTGTACACGCTCGAAAGTATCAGGACCGCTCGATGCGTCGGCGTCTAGAGAATCCAGGCTTCTATGGAAAGCAGCTCTCGGCACGCGATACTCTGAATCAGGTGACGAGCTTCTTTCGCTTGGCGTAGAGGTGTCGATTCTGTTCTCTTGATCCCGGAAGCACAACGCGTGCTTCCCAACGAACGATCTTTTATCGGCTGATTCTTTGCTCCTGGCCTGGTCTAAAGCGGTCAAGCGGTCTTTTATCGACCTGGCGGATAGTTCGCCATTGTGTCTGGATTCATGAGCGGTTCCAGGTGCTGATGACTCGTCGCTGCTACTGTATTTCTCCAGGGTAAACAATCTATCTCTGAGCGGTCTGACTGTCTCTAATTCTTCGGTGCTCAGCTTACGATGAACGGAGTTCTTGTTCTCCCTCTCTGTGGTCTGTTTCTCCAGATGGGATAATCTTTCACGGATCGAGCTCATATCACCGGACAATCTGTTCAGCATTTTTCCGGTCTTGTCGCTACCCTCCGGCTCCTGCTTCTGCTTCTCCAAGTTCGAGAGCCGTTCCTTGATCGATTTCGTGCTGGTGAAATCGCCGGAGAGCCTGTTGTTCGCTTTACTCTCGTTGCTCTTCAACGACGCTTTCTCGAAGATCTCCCGCCTCTTCAGTATGTCCACTTTGACGACCGGTATGGTGGATTTGTTCTCGTCGTTCAGACTGGTCTTCGAACCGTTCGTAGAAGATTTCGCGCTCTCGAGCTTCGCGTCCAGGCTGGCCAACGATCTTCTTGGTATGTTCTGCGACACCCTCGACACGTAACTACGGATCGCACCCTCGTACGTGTACTCTTCCGGTTCCGGCGAGCTGGTCGTCGCTGTTGTTGCCGAGTCATACTCCTGGTTGTTGTGATTGTGACTGATGTGGAAACCGTTCCCAAATGGTTTCTTCGTCGTCGTAATCGTTGCGGACACGCTGGTCGCTGACGTTGTCGTCATGTCATTACCAATGACGCTTTCGTTTGGCACATTGTCCAGGTCCGAGTGATTCTTCTCTATTTCACTGTCTCTATCGCTCTGAAAAGAGATTCATGAACTCTTTTTTTTTCATGGTCGAATGATCAACTTGTATTGTAATATCAACTTGCATTTAACGTGGAAATAGTAATGTATTTGATGTATGTCCGTCGATTGATAAAATGTAGGGCAATTTCCATTTCGATCTAAGTAGTTGCAATGTTTTTAGAAAGTAACGGTGAGGGGAATCGAGTATAAAGTACGAATCACTAAGAAGACAGGTGCTACTTATAGGTGTTACTATCTTACCAGAACACTGTGTGTGTCATCGTGAGTGTCCCCGCTAACTGAGCTCTTTCCACTGCTGGTGCCTATGCCAAGGTCACTTAGGTCATTGGCATCGTCCTCGTGGTACATGGCCAAGCTGATGCTTAGCTTGCGACCCCTATTGCCCCTCTCTTCCATCATTTCCGAGAAAGTCTTGTTTCGACGACGCTGCCGATCGTGTTCCTCCAGCTCAAGTTTCTTCACCTCCACCACCCGCTCGATAATGTGTTCCTGACGCTTCCTTCGACTGCTCTTCCAGTTGTCCAAATTCTATGAACAGATTATGAATAACGATTCAGTGTATTTACGTATATGTGCAGGGTTTATATAGACTTTCTGATTAAATAATTCTTAAGTAATTTCATTTTATTCTTTACTTACACATAGCGAAATATTTTTAAAGATTCTTCTGAACAACCGCTAATATAATATAACGTATAGTTATTAAAGAATTATGCTTCTAAATTAAATACTAGAATTTTTAAGCTGATAAACAGAAAAACAATAAATTGTTATACTACAATCAACTGACGTGTTAACTATTCTTTGAAAGTCTACGGGATAGTTGTATTATTATTCGAAATGATTCGTTTCTTTTGCACCTAATTAATTAAAAAACGTATTTACGTATATTTAATGGAAATAATATTTAAGAATACCAAAATGAAGATTTAGTGTAGTAAATGGATATCTTATCTTACCGACTGCCAATCTTCGGGATCATCGCGGACCTCTTGTTTTATTTTCTTCACTTCTTGGACTTTCTGCAGCTGTTCCTGTGCTGTACGATACAGGGAACATGGTCCAACTTTGACGAATTGAAGAGGATTTGTTGCTTGCTTTGGAGGTGTTTTCAGGGTGGTCTTTAATTTTGGCGGCTCGTGTGTGATCTGTAAATTGTAAACAAACCATGCTTAGTTCACGTAAAATTGTTCGTATTAACCAACAAATTAATATTTAAAACTACAGCTGAAAACAAATCATACATAAAATTTCCTCTACTGCTATCTTTTAATATCCACTAAATCTTTTATACTTCAAATATTTAACAAATGCCAAATAAATTATCACACGAATTATTTGAGTGCAGATTTCTGAAAGAGGGGACACTTTTGATGACAACACTGTCTGCATTTCCCTTTCAAGTAGCAGTGAAGCCTACTCGATCTGCACTTAGGATCAGCTTGCAGCGGAAGTGCAGATCGAGGGTGCAGCTCTAACAGACTATAACGATGTGCCATCGTTCCGATGATCACTTCAGGAAGAATAGGCCAGAATGAGTCATCGATCGAAGAAAGGGGAGAAACTGTCACCGTGCAATTAGGAACAAATGGGAATATCTCACAACTACAACACGGGTCTGATTAATATTCCTGCATCCCAAACTACAAGGTAATAATATTCTCAGCAATGTTTTTATTCTATTATCCTTTAGAAACTAATAATAATTTTAATGATGTTTAAATTTCTTATTCATACCGTGTCGAGCAAGATCGTGTAAAAAGTTCAATTTATCACATGAAAAGGGGATGATGTAAAAATAGAACATGTAAGAACACATAATCGGTTTCTGCTTTAACGCCCATAGCTAACCAAAGCTTCTATTACGGCATCGTCCGTGAACCGGAAGCGGAATCACGCTTCTACGGTAGCTAGCCTTTACAAAGCGATAATCGTCGCGAATCGCTGCGCGGTAGTTAACGACGATTGTCAAGTCCGACCTCGGAAAATCGTGTTTCCTTGTCCCTATCACCCTTTTATGCGTTACGAATCTGTTAGCAGCGTTACTGATCGTGTCCTTTCAATTCCTCGTCTTCGAGACACGCATCTGCATGTTTTTAAACGTTTAAACAGTCGTATGTAATATGTCTTTCAATTTAAAAATATAAAGGAATTTACAATTTTTACATTTAAAGTAGAACAACAAGAAACAGGCAGATAAAACTGTAAGTGTAACTTTGATGGAAATACACTAATATAAATCTACTTCATTTATACTCTACTATACGAAAGTCCGATATTTTTCATGTATATTATAACAGAAAGATCAATTATTTATTATTAGTCACAATTTCTGACATGAATATCTAGAAGTTGAAACAGGACAGAATTTGGAGTCCTGTACTAGAGTTTTTACTACCTTACTAATAATACATAAATAGTACTAAACTTTATTAAAATCTTTATTTTATTACATTCCCCAAATTATGGGATGCTATAAATGTATAAACATCCGCAGTCTATTTATTATCAAGGTTGGAATGGACAGATGCTGATCGACTTGTCTAGCATTTCTTGTACACTACTCCATGGACAAGGTCAATAAATGAGCTGCCGCTTGATAAAACACACAAGTATCATAGTTCCACTGTATGACACATCTGTTTATAAGTGTATTAGGACACTTATCAAATGTGAAAGAAACTTGAAGGACAATCCCAAAATTATTCATATTATTTAATACATAATATCAAAGCTCAATAGTTATTAAATCCACTAACATAAAGTCATAGAAATGATACAGAATAAGGGATATTAAAATGTTCGGATCCTAATGATTATTTCATTTTAGTTTCTTGTGCGGACGCCAGTTGTCGACGAGTTTGCGAACGATGAACCCCGTTAGAGGAGAATTGCTAAAGTCATAGAAATGATACAGAATACTCAATCAGTATGAAACGTTACGTTTTTCCTGGTCAAAAAAGTGTCCTAAGAGGTAAAGTGCGTTGCTTAGAGGAAGGCCTCCGAAGGGTATACGAGTCTGATTGGTGATTGGGCACACACATCGTTTCTATTGGCCAGCGCAATGACATCGACCAGTCAGAGCACACAGCACCGCACGGTGCACCCCTTGCATTGCCCCTGTGCCGTTTCGGAGGACTTCTTTTGAGCAACTTAAACGCACTTTAAATACTTACAAACGTTAGTGGACATATCTGAATTCTTTGTCATTTAGGATTATTAATTTTTTCATTTAAGTTTATAAATCGTTATTTCGTAAACATTTATAAATCCCAACTGGACAAACGATGGGTATTTTTAATGTTCATAAGTAAAACATCGAAGTCGCACTTTATTGCTAGGGTTCTGGTAGTACAAAGGGTTAATGTTCCGCGTGAAAGGTGCCTGTTAGGCGTTAATAACGCAGAACCACGAGAAAAAGAGAATGTTTCATCTACTGACGACACATATATGCCAAAAGGATATACCCACCATCCTCTCATTTCGCCGCTCCGTGGCGGCGGTCTGCGAGGCGGGCATCCTATGTTCCTTCCCTCCTTCTCTCTCGTCTTCGGGGAGCTCCTCCTCTTCAGTGTAGCACGACTCCTCGCACGGTCGGGCCCATCCTACGCCTCGTCCCTGGAACCGAGCAACAGGAAACCTTATTAACTGACGAACTAACGGGAAATGAACTTCTGTCGGTAGCGGTGTCGGAGATCGCAGAAACGCGTCGACACGATTTCATGGATCGTATCTGGTTTCGTGCGAACCAGAGGGGAGTCATTTCTTGTCCCCAGAATTAGTTACAAAATGTACTATTCTTTGTTGGATAATGTATTCCTGTATAATACATACTGTGTTATTATCATATTTCAAACATATTTTTTTACATTTCGGGGGCAAAAATATTTTTTTACGAAAAAGTTCTGGAATACTTATCACAATCTCTACTACATTATACAATCGTTTGTTAGGTCAGGTTTGTAGAACTTTTTTCAATAAAAATAAAAATTTGGAGGAAGGACAAAATAAACTTTCTCTTGGAGCATCGTCACTCTCATTGCCTACGGAGGAGATGATCCATGTTATTACGAATTTCTTTGTGAATTATACAATTCTGATAGTGATTGAGTTCGAGACGATTATTCTACAATTTTAAGCAATGTTTACTGAATGTTGATCGTGATAGTGATTATATCTGTAGTGCAGTTACTTGAGGCTTGGATAACAAGAATTGTTGAAAAATGTAATATAAAATGTCGTTTTTAGAAATTCATAAATTCGGTGCTGTGGTCTATCTTTTACAGACTTTTCATGATTCAAACAGTTCAACAAAAAGAATGTACTTATATAGAAAGCTTTACAAATGTTTTCCTACACAAATGACCGTGTAATAGTGTAGTACAATGGATACTTGTTCTAACGATTACTAACATCTGCACAATAAAAATAATAAATAATTGTTTACAAAAGACGCTGAGTTACTGAAAGTTACCCAATGCACAAATTAAAAATTCCCAAGTCTTGAAATGTAATTTATCTAATCAGAATCGCTAAAGGAATTTACGTCGCATGTTCTCAAATATCAGCTACTCAAATATAATGAAAATTAAATTTATATCGATTGGAGCCTAAGTGCACATAATCTTATACATAGACAACATTTTTCACCCCAAAATTCAATCTTATTGTTCTTAGATACCTTTATCATCTAAAGCAAATATATGCTATAATATTTGCATTTAATTTTGAATTAGTACATTAATTATTTCGTAACTTCAAATATTTGTCCAGGTATATTCTTCCTGCCAAACAACAAAACAGAAAAGAATCGAACGAACAAGAGGAAAAAGTTTCTTCAAAGACAGCACGACAAAAGAAGCAATTAAAACTCGAGCGACCGCGAACCGCAGACAAAACTTGAAAAGACGGGAAAATATATATCGGTACTGTGCGAGACAATAGAAACGGAAAGAAGAGAGGAGTGACAATAGAAAATAAACTCGACGGAAAAGTACATATATCGTGCAACAGAACCAGCGAACGCATCGGGGCAGATAATGAGGAAGATCGGGGGAAAGGTTGGAGAATCAGGCAAAAAGATGAAGAAATCCTGCGGGAGTAGTAAGAAACGATCTCAAAATCAAAGAAAATATATCGCGTGGAAACTGTTGAAACACCTCAGGGAAAATAAACAAAAAAAGAAGAAAATTAAATTACCTAAAGTAATCCCCGTACAGTGATGTTTAATGTTTCGATTGAGTCTCGACGATTACGCAAATATAGACGAAGAACGAAACTGGGAAATGGCACTCGTTACAGAACACACGCTCGTGGGACAAAGAAAAGTTGTGGAGGGGGGGAAATATCACGGTATGCTTGGCAACTGAACTGGTTCAGAGTCTTGACAGGCGTAAAATGATATTAAAGGTTCTATCGATCGGGGAAAATCGAGCAAATCGATCACTTTATTCGAGCCGAGAAGAAAGAGGCTCTCCTCAGCTACGATTTACTGATTAATTTACGATGTTCCACGATATATATCGTTGGCAGGTAATCAACGGAGATGACAATAATTACACGAAGATCGTGTGACAGATCGATTAAAGTTAATAGCAAGGCGAATATTGTGTGCGGTATTGTTTTATATGTATTGCATTTCTGCAACGTTTGAACAAATTAAGATTGTGGGTAATAAGCAATCGATATATACATTCCCGTCCGTAAGTCATCGGACACTTGCTACTAAACGTGGAATAAGTAGGAGTTACTTGAATTATGAAACAAACGAATTCTTATTAATTTTGCGTGTTCTAGAAACAAATGTAAGTTACATTCAGGATTGTGAACAATCTTAAAAATCTGTTTATTTCATTCAGAAATATTTATCGAAATGAATCGTGGCACTATAAACAAATAATTCTTCCCTGAATTCACTCTAATCAGTCTGTAATCACTCCTATTAACAGTTCGTTAATTTTTAGGCGCCATTTTATATATCAGTGCCGAAATTATTCGATTCCATGAAATTGGTTCGATTATGTATAGTGTTACAAAATTTGCAACTGACCATTATTTTGTAATTCTTGTCAAGTAATTCTGAAAAATGTTTGGGGTATGTTCAAAATCACAGTCTTACTGAAAAATAGGATGAATCAGTGAAATTGTTTGAAGAGCATGTATTTTTGTTTCAATTTTCATTTTTCTTAAAACAATCAAGTGTCTGGTAATTTATAGACGGGCGTGTACGTATTCTGATCGGAGATCAATAAAGTGATAGCGTCATCCTGAATTTTGTGTTGTTAAAACGTGTGTTCAGTACTGATGTGATCACTTTGTGACCAAAATATCGTATAATTCCATATGTGTAATATACTACAGTAAAAAAACAAAAAAGTAAATTTTAGCGTATCCAAAAATTTTCATATGCAGACTATATTTCTTCCGGTCCCCGTTTCTAGACCCACCCGTATCGTTCGATGAGCAAATATTATTGCAGGGAAGTTGTGTTTGCACAACGCATCCGTTGCGAAAGTTCTATTTCAAGGAGCGCGGTTTTCGCGATCAGCTGAAAGCTTTTCAAGGCTGTTGATCTTGGATCGTCGGCAGAAAAATTGAACTGTGATTTCTCCAGCCCGTGCAAGCTTAAAAATAATAGAAAAAGATAGGTTCCGTTTGTAAACGCAAATTTGTACTGCGAAAACAAATAAAAAATCCTCTGTTTAGAAGAAAAGAATTCTAGTTACTCAGTTTTATAACGTTTATAATATTGTGTAAAATAATACTATACTTGTAAGTAAAATTGTATGTATAGTATAAAATTAGTTTGTAGAATTGTGTTCATTATATAATTTTACAAATCTTGTGGTAGTATAAACTCTCATATGACGAACACTGCACCAACCAAGACGTATACTTTACAGCAATTTCAGATTCTGTACAACAATATTCTTTGCAACGAAAAGTGGTTAGACTGTAAAACAAATTCATGAATATTTTTGTTAGATTTTTAGTATTTAATACATTAAAATTTAATTTTACATGATGGAGTTAATACTTATAAAACTATACCGTAGAAATTTACAGAAGAGGTAAGCCTATGAATAAATGAGATTATAAAAAAGAAAATTCAATATTCTAGATGAAATGAATGAACATACTTTGTTAATCATGTCTGACAAGTAAGAAACTGAGAACGGTAACTTGAGTGATATTAACTGGTAATTACGTGAAGTGATGAAAAGATTATATGCTGACTAGGGAAAGGTGTTCTCTAGACTTTAGATACGACAAGGTATGCCTGCAGGAAAATTGCAAAAATGATTGATCAACGTATGGTAGTCGGGAAATTAAGGAAACCTACGAAGGATAGCATGGATAATGGATAATGGCCGCCAACCTGTGTCTTGCTAATCGTTGAGAACGAGAATATGCAAAATCATGTGTAACCGTTTGCAAACTTATTTATTCACGTAAAGGAGTGGTCAATACGAGGGGCGTATGTCGTGGGAACAAAAAAATCTTACCACACCCTTAATTGTTTCATTTCTTCAAGAATCGTATCGAAGTTTCCACAGTAAATCTTCGACTTTTTTTTGTAGAATCGCGATTTTACTCGCTTCTGAGGTATTCATTTTAATCTTCATTGATTAAATTCTTTCTTTACAAGTTAGTAAACGATGATCCAAGGATTTTTTTAAATAAAATTAATACTCATAATTAATTTGAGTTAGATAGGTAGAATAAAGAGAACATGAATGATAGATAATTTGAATAGAAGTTATCTTTCACTATGAAATAAACTACAAAATTGTATCTAGGATGTTAAATTGGGACCTGTAGATTCGTGTTTTCAATGTGAAAAGCAACTTTGTTTGTACAAAAATGAAATACATATTTGGATATTTATATTAAGAAATAAGTCATCAATTCAGTAGGAAAAATTGTAATTGAAATTAAAGTGAAACAAAATAATAAATGCACAACAAGTTAAATATTTTAAACATAAAAGAAGGCAGATAATTTTCTTAAAATACATGAGAAAAATTCAGTAAATTATTCCTTCGATTTTTTTTATGTATGTATGCCTCACGATTTTGTTCAGTTTAGGCGCCCAATCAAAGGAATATTCTGAACAATTGTAAAGTCTAAAGGATCGAGGGGATCCGTGAATAAACGGCGAGCGTTCGTAGAAAATATTACCGCCTCTATTCACAAACTAATTTGCGATTACGTTTCCTCTATTTGTTCGATTCCAAAGAGTTTACATCCCCTCCACCCGAGATTTACGACTGCATTACACGAACGAACGTGCAAGTCCATCGTCGGACGATTTGTTCTTCACGATTCAATGCATCCAATTCGTTGAATGCATCGATGGTTCCGCCGCCCGTAAAAATTTCCCCGGTATCGCATGACTACCGTACCATAAAACTCAATGTTAAACATAACATAAAATAAATCCCTTTGTGCGCAACGACGAAAACAAGGCGGCTGTAAACGATGACAATGACCGTGCGTACGATCGTTTTTGGTAATTTAACTGCATGGAAAAACTGTATAAGGAAACTACATCTCGAAAGTCGATTAATCTCGTTCATGAGCATTTATACAGCTAAAATTTATTTGTATACCTTATA